TCAGTTGCCGTCAAAATTCTTTGACCAATTTCTGCCAAATCCGCAGTGTGAACCAAACTATGTAGAAATGGTTTCAGAGAAATGTCTGGAGAATGCTGCTGCACAGTTGCATCCAGCAACATATGCGTAATATATCTTTCATTAAACGATATAGGTGATTGACATATCGGTGGATGCCATGGTAATGGATGCTTTTTCCATGGTTCTATGTCAATTAATTCATTTACGAACAAATGTGTTCTAATAATAATATTTAGAAAAAATATATTAGAATTAAAATGTGTTATGATATAATATAGCGTACAAAATTTTAAGTACTTACGCGTAACCTTTATTTTCAGGCGATAAATAAATAGGTAAGTATTGTTTTCCATCTCCAAACATTAGCATAGAACTATCACAGTCAGATATCTTTGGCCAATAGTCAACTTCAAAATCTTCATTTCCTTTCTTAATTTCTACATTATGATATTTTGGACTCTTTGTTGGCGACGCAAATAAATTATTGTATTCCACATTTAGTTCCGTAATTATGTCTGAAAAATTGTTAAATAGATTTTGCTCTACTTGATTCATTCAATTTACACCTGTTGTAAAAGTCACAAAAGTACCTTTTGTAATACGATTGCTGCGCTCCTTTACTTGTTTTTGTAAATTTTTCAATAGGTGAAGACTAACATGAACATTCTGTAACATGTTTTCAGCTATTTTTTTCCTATCTCCCAAATCCATGTAAGATAATATAATATTATTATCAATATAATGAATTGACCTTTCAACCGGATTTATCGTAAGTAAATGTAGATTTTGCTCTCGCGCAAAAGCGAGCTTAATTTCTCTGGTAGCAGATTTAATATTTTGCTCCCAGAGCATATGCTTATAGAGTTCAAACCACTCTTTCTTCCAGTCGTGATATGCATGTATTTCTGACAACACATTCCGCAAGCGTCTGTAATAATTATAATTATAAACATTTCATCAGTACTGTTCTTAAACTGGGAATAACGATGTCAACTTACTGATCAAATAATAACAAAGACGTTTCCAAAAAACGATGACAGAATATGGCATATTTCATCTGTTTGGCTTCTAGCGTGTCAGGTGCCAATTTCAAACAATTATCATAACATGCTGCAGATCGATCGAAGTCGCCAAGGGACACGTAAATGTGGCCCAGCGCCAGATGATGATAACTTTCTGTTGGATTATAATCTATCGCCGCATGTAAAATAATCGCGGCTTCACCAGAATATCTTGCAGCGTGTAAAATGCCGGCAGTAGTCAGAAGAGGAATATCACGATATTGCCTTAATTACGTACAATGCTTTCGTTACGAAATCAGTAAAACTACACGTCGTCTTCTAGCGATACTTTTCTCTAGTATCTATAACAATATAAACGAATTTCGTATTATATTACCTTGAAGCACATACAATCGCTCTACGACTGCACTCTAAAGCATTGTAAGCATCTCCCCTAATCCGCCAATAAATCGATGCTAGATTCAAATATATCCAAGAGGTATTATTGCGAGATAAGCTGTAGGCAAGCCGATGACCAAATTGATTAAGATCAGTATTCAACGGTAAATACTTCATTAAACTGAGTTCTTCATGTTGCGTAAGATTTTTTCGGTTCTGCATTGCCTAATAAACAAAAATGATGTTACAAACATGTTGTGGCTTCTGTATAAAGAATATTCTACCTACTTTAAGATGTTCAAATGTGTATATACTAAAGTCTAACGGAAATGTTTTCTGACAATCAGGAACTGTTGGTTTACTATTAGCCACCACATTATATAACATATAATCAGTTTGGCTGTAACAAAAGTATTGCATCATCCTTCCATGTTCAACAAATAAGTACATAGGTTACTTTCAGAAAACACAATGAATGAATGAGAACTTGTTTTGCTACTGATATTATATATATATTTTTTTTAGATTTCTATTTGAATTACAGATAACAATTACTGAGCCTTCACTCAACTGTTGTGTTTTCTGAACATACCAACAAATTTTAATAAATCATTTGTTTAAATTTTTTTATTAAGTAAATATTTAATTACAGTAAGTGAATGTTTAGTTGGCACTATTCAAATAAATATTTGTTAAAATTTAGTACATTTTTTCAGTGTAGTAATTAAAAAAATATAATAATTAAATAAGCACTGAGTAATTATTATCTGATTGCAGATCTTCAGATTTATGACAAATATGTCAGAAAAATATATCAATAGCAGCAAGGGCTTACCCCACTGTTGTGTTTGCTAAACGTAGTCATATTTTCTCAAACTTATGACTAATAATAACTTACTCTATGCCATCTTTAAGTCTATAATCGATTATTATACTAGCGTGCACGTCGACGTCAGCCAATGATTTGTCCCATGAGAAACAGTCTGAATTTGAATTTTCTGCATCAGCCATGCTTAAACCAACAAACTGATTGTCAATGGATACTTCCTTCCTTGATATTTTCTTGTATATGGCATCAGCTGTTTCCCTGCATTTTTCTTGCTCCAAAAATCCCAAAAGATCATACGGTCGACGCATATCAAAGACACTGTCATGCTGGAAACGTGAAAAAGAACATAAAACTTAAATACCAAATAATCACATCTGTCGATAAAATTGCTAGATCATTATGAGATAATGTGATGTTTACATTTGTACGTGATGATTCCAATGAACAAAATCGATGCCAGGTTTTCGCGTTTTCATTGAATTATAAGAAAAGAAAGATACTCACTTGCGGTTGAATTCTCCCATTTTCCGTGACATACCAATGTTTGGTGGCCGAGATTTCGAGTATCACCGCAAGCACCGTGATGATCCTGCAGGACACGTTGCTCCGAATCATTTTCCGCGGTATAACCCCATACGACATGCCACAAGCTTCACCGAGTCTGCGAGGAAAACTTAACAACGTAGACCATTGCTGCGAAAACGTGCGTGTTTCTGCACACAAGTTTCGCAAGGAACGAGCAAAAACAGCTACTGCGTCGCGAAATTTCCCACCGGAATGATTCAGATCGATTCGAAATGATTCGAAACACGATACGACGCGGATCAGTGACTGTCAACGACAACGGCCGTCATTTCAATGTTGAGTGATATCGAGTCGAGTTGTTAGTCACTGATGATACGACCGTCATATGTGATAAAAAATTAAACATGAAATTTGTATATTGTATGTATGTACATACATATATGGTCAAATTCAATTACCATGAGAAACAAAAAAATTTGTTTCTTAACAATCAAAATATTTTTAAAAATACTGTTAATTGCTAAAGGTGTGTAAAGTGCAGAAAGTGCAGAACATGTGGAAAATATAGAAAGGATAGAAAAAAACTTTGTAATAATAAATACAGTTGAATTAATTTTTCCTCATATTAAAAAAAGGCAGTAAAGAACATTACATATTTTTACAAAAAAGCTATTAATAATTTAGTATAAAATAATAATATTCATTGCAGAGATTACAATAATTCTAAAAAATGCAATTTTAAACTAATATTTTTTAATGTTATTTTTTGTATTTGTGTTTTATATACATTACTGTATTCTATTATATATTTAACATAATATATTTACATAAATACATTATTTATAAATAATGTACAATCAATCGATTAAATTATTTTTCGATTAAATTTAATTTTTTTATTTTATATATATACTCCGTGCATTAAATTAAAATGTACAAAATTTTTCAATTATTACCATGTAAAATTGTTGATCTCTGTTATAATAACATCTCATATCACTAATTGCGATCGATGTTCAGGAAGGCACTCTTTTACATCCTTTTGTGCTTGAAATAATGATGTTAGATTAGAGCTATAGTAAATATACGAAAAAATATATGGAAAAAATGAGTAAATTCCTAAAAATTTGAACATGTGATAAATCAGTTTAGCCAAAGGGTTCATATTAATTTCTGCATGCAATATTTTTTTATATCTAATTAACTGTTCTGATATATGCTGCCACTACTGAAAATTTATAGTTATACATATATCAGAACACGGCTATATATAGTTAATTAGATATAAAAAAGTTATGTAAGAATTGATATGAATTCTTTAGCTAAATTAATTTGTATCACATGTTCAAACTTCCTATACACTTGATAGATTCTATTATTATTAGAAGTTCGCTTATTTTTCTTCATTTCAAATTCAGTCAAAATGAAATTGATAGATTATTATATTTTCGTATGAATAGAAAATATTTTTAGCTCTCAAATTAAATTAAAAGTCTCAATAGGTTATAGATAAACAAAAAATTCTTTTTTATGTATAATAACGCGTGGAAAGAGTGTTTTTTACAAAGAACATTTTTACGATTACACTTCTAACAATCGCAATAAACTCGCTTATTATCGTGCAGTTACATAGACAACTCGTAAGAACATCTGCAATCGTTATTATTACAAATGTCGCAAAGTATAATAATTTCAGTTTTATCTTCCAAACGGTATGACTAATAATGCGCGCATTTGCGTCGCACTAACTTCGATCGTTCGACAAAAGTTCACGCATTTGCATCATTTTCTTCTTCACTTACAAACAGTCGCGACATTTAACTATACTACGTATAGTAGTAGCGCGAATCTCTTGCGAAATGTTCAATCGCGCTTTTGCTTTTCCCTGGCCTTGACGGCCTTGGCAGGGATCAGTCTCTTAAATTTTCTTCATCGAGGTGTATCTGCTATACGCCGCGGCCGAGGTGGTCCGCGCCTGCGTGCAGCCGCGGCTCGCACTCTCGGCTCCGACTGTTCCGCCAATTGCGGAATGTTATGAAAGTCCTCGAGACTCCGCGGCACCGTCCCTATCCAGCCATCGTCTTCGTAGCGTGAACGGAAAACGGAACGCGAATCGGGATCCGCGAGTAGTCGGTGGATAGTCAGGGTCGAGATCGCGAACGCGCAGTGCGAGTTCTCTTCAAAACGGGCGGCGCGGTGATAACCACCCTTGTCTCCTTGTAGCCATGAGTCTGGTGCGACAAAACTTCCACGAGGAGTGCGAGGACGCGCTCAACAAGCAAATCAATTTGGAGCTATACGCCAGTTATGTCTATCTGTCCATGGTCAGTCGGCCTTGTGTATTGATCATCAGGCTTAGTCCTGCAGCATTCCCAGCTTTCAGTCACCCCTTCGCAGTTCGCCCTCGGCCGCGCGATCGAAACACCCCCGCGCGTACAATAATGTACACCTGAGCGTTTTCCCTCGTCGCGCGTCGCGTCGGTATAATGCGATCCGATGCAACCTGATATTGACCTAATAGACCTCTACTTCTATATGTCGTACACGTGCGCCTCTCTCGATGCTACCAGCTTAAATCTTTCATGTCTCACTCTGGATATTAAGTATAAATAATAGTTACATCCATTGAATTAGAGACGTTGCGAGGGAAATACCTTTTTGTATAGTTACCTCTTTTATTTATTGAATACAGTAGTCGTTACATTGTATTCAAGTTCCATTGCGCCTTTCGCTAACTCTTGCTATCTCCCTTTCTAATCTGATACTACATATATTAACAAGTAAATATAATAAATTCTTGGTACAACTACGTGCAGTTTTCATATTGTCTACCAAAGTTCGCGTGACAAAAGTTCTCCACTGCAGTTGATCGAATGAACGCGTTTGTATACCAAGCTGGTTATTTGCGGTACCGAATTAAATAAATCGACGAATATTGATCGTAAAACCCGATCTACAGTAAACCTTTAGCACCTTTTGAAGTTTTTTTGTATATGCCATTTGTATATATAAATAAAGAGAATTTATATGAATAAAGAGAAATAATACAAAATAATGAAATCGCTTTAAAAGATTTGTAAAAATGGACCGAAATTATCCTTATCTCTCTGACAGTCAATAAATAATCATAAATGGCACATGAAGTGAAAAATAGGCTTAAAAGCTTATAGTATGCGTATTTTCACCTCACGTGCTTTTCACGATTATTTACCCATTGTCAGAGGAGGTTCATTATTTTGTCTTATTCAAATTTTTTCTTTATTTACAGACGGCGTGCAAGAAACTTCAACTTGTCATTTCTTGCTTATTGTTGATACGGTTATCGTAATACTACAAATGCTATGAAGCATTCTTCGATTGATAAATTCGTAAAATTCTTTCTTCTCATTGGTCAATCAAACGTTTCAAAATATTTGTAGTGATTTTGGCCGCGCCATATAATGTTACGATTTCATATAACTTTAAAGCTCTGGCCATCACAACTGTAAAGAATTCAGAGCAAAAAGTTAAAAGATTTTTCTAGTAAAAATTTTTCTTGAAATTCTTCACATAATTTTTTTAAATATTTATATAAATTTTTTAATTTTTTAGAATTTCTATATAATTTTTCAATTTTTTAAGTACAAATTAGAACACTTTTCGGAAATTCTGGAAAAGTCCACATTTCTTTTTTAGATTTTTTAAATATATAATAATATATGAATTTTGCAATATTCTAAGATTCTTTATTCTATAATTTTTAAAAGAAATTTCGAATATTTGGAAAAATTCAATATTTTTTCAGAAATCTTATTAACTAAAAATGTAACAAATTTTTTTAAATGTTATGAGATATTTCGAGAAATTTTTTCACCAGAGTTACTGCATGTCTTTGCAGATCAGTAATTTACTTTTTTCAACTGAACTTCTTGCACCGTTCACATTTTTTTTCCTTTTCTCTCTAACATAAAGAGAAAAAGAAGAAATGAATAGTACAAGAAATTCTGCTGAAAAGAACAGATATCTGGTCTAAATCTACTAATTGTAGGCGATTCCTTGTCGGAATTTATCTTAATGTCCCACATCCTGCACGCTGCATCCTTCCGCATGCGTTTCGTTGCAGGCGTACTACTTTGACAGAAGCGATGTCGCATTACCGGGTCTGTATAAGTACTTCAAGAAGGCGTCGGACGAGGAACGCGAACATGCTATGAAATTTCTGACTTATCAAAACAAACGAGGTGGCGACATCGTGCTGACGGACATCCAGGCGCCGTCCAGGAGAAACTGGAACAGCGCGAAAGACGCTATGATGGAGGCTTTGCAGCTAGAGAAGAGAGTAAATCAGGTGTGTACTCTCTCTCTCTCTCTCTCTCTCTCTCTCTCTCTCTCTCTCTC